ATAAATTTCAATCGGAAACGGATTTGGATGAAGCCATTCTGTCCTTAGGGAGGTTCACCAGCCAACGCAGCACATATATTATACCCGCGTCCAAGGCGGAATCAATCCGCAGTGAGACCAGTGCCAATGAACGAAAACAACCTTGGTTTTCTCAGTTGGTTATCACCAATATCGTCTCCCTTTCATGGATCAAATCGCACTCCACCACATCAACTTTCAATCCATTTTCAAGTCTATCCACTATCGAGCGTCTCAATATCAACACCAACAAATTACTGAGCACCAGTGAGATTATCACTGTGCTCCCTCAATTCCTTTCGAACTTGAGCAGGTTGAAATGGTTTGGGAGGTTATGGATGGATGTGGAGGAGGCGAAGAACCTGGAGAGGGTATATTGGGAAGAAGTGAGGAGGTGTTGTCCAGGATTGGAGACGGTTCAGTTTCAGTTTGGATTGGTGACGGTCTTGAATTTTCAGATGGTGGATTTGGTAGGTGGGACGGTGGCATGGCCAGAGTAGGGTGAAGAGGTCTTTATCATGTTTATAGTGTACAGGCTTGTAAAATTTGTCTATCCCCCATCTCCGATTTGATGCTTCAAAAGATGCAGGCCAATGTATTCAACCTGATGCTCGTATATACAAGGGCTACAAGTTAGATTAATTAGTCCCATGGTAGGTATTCCGTAGCCCAAGTCCCAAAAAAAGCGAAAGCTAGATAACAAGATGCGGTTGGTGTAGACTTTGGGGTTTCGAGCTATACCAGAGTTGAACCGTTTTAACCCGCCGATCTCAAGTACAATTCCAACTTAAAGACCTAAACTTCGGTCATGTCGAATCCGAACCGCATTGGATACAATCGACCTATTTGACATTGGTTCCCAGATAGGATCAACATCAGGTCCATCCAAATCTCCGGCGCCGTCCCATCCCCAACACCAAACTTTCCACGAGTCAGTATTCGACCGGACAGGAAAAGAGGACGGATACTTACCTTCCTTCGGACCAGGTTTAAAATCTAATGGTACACTTTCCTCTTCAATGAATAAACGATCGTGTGGACCGAACCATGATCGATCTTGAGGGTCTGTACGTGGATCGTCTGGAAGTCCGCCTAAGCGGACATAACCGCGTATAGCTGTCAAGTTTCTTCTTGGTGGGTGGATGATGTCGTAGACTCTCTGAGAAGCAGAGGAAGGATCGTGGTCAGAATATGATAAGCGAAGGGTATAAATGTATGCGGGGTAGAAGAGGAACTTACACCGTCATAGGCTAACTTGACGCGTGGCACCATCATAATTCGTCCATACCCAGCTTCCCAATAGTCGTTGCAGATCAAACTGCATTCACTCGCGCTACACTCTCCTTCCATGATCTTTGCCATCCTAAACCTCAAATGAGGTGGTGTATAGAATGGCTCTGGATCCAACACCGCAATTCCATTCCAACAACTTTGGACTTGAACCGGGAGATGTCTTTGCCATCTCTGTGACGACTCTGAATGGTGGAATACCCTTTCGAATGGTGCGTTTTCGAGTGCTGTTCCGTTGATATCTCTCGCGACCCAGTTGTCGTAGAAGACTGGGGACCCAATTTCATCGTGATACATGTAATCGGCAGCACATGTAATCCCAGCGTTATTCCTCCTACTCTGCCAGATGAGTTCGAGGATATCGTCAACGCAGGGTAAAACGTCGTTCATGAACACAATGGTATCAAAGTATTCATTTTCCGAGTCTCTGAGTTCGTGAAGTGGGACGAAAGCGGCATTACGAACTTCTGCAAGGTACTCGATGCGGTGGTTGAATGCGCCACGAGTCCGTGTTGATGTCCGGATGGTGATACGCATACCGACGCTACGGGTCAATGCATCGAAGATTCGAAGAAGTGCTTTGGTTTGATCGGTGGACCCATTTTCGTAGATTGAGACATAGACGTTGTGGTATCCCAGGATAGCTGCAACCCGGAAGAGGGCAGCGAACATATCCGGAATAACATCGAATGAATTGTAGAGGTTTATTGCGAAGAAGTATTTGTGTTCGCTAGGAGTGGAGAGGACGGCCTGAGCACGTTCATCGTCACCAAAGAAGGTAGACCACCATGAGTTTTGGGCTGATGAACGCCAACGATGGCCTGCTAGAGATGAATAACGTTCGAGGATTTGTTGTGCGTAGAAGGGCTGTGTATTCCGCATACATTCTCGTGTGTATCGTTGGGAGAGGGAGGTGAGGAGTTCGAGAACACGGAGACGCTGGTCGGGTGTTGGGAGTTGGATGGGATGTCGGCTATGCTGGTGTGGTTTGGCAGCGATGTGATTACTCCGCCATGTATGCGTCGCTGTTGACTATGGTAGCAGGTGGTCGATGATAAGCCCGACGAGCTCGACGAGAGTAAAGACACTGTAAAGACTCACTGAAGTCCATGGGAAGAATCTCGAGACTATTAGGCCGATGAAGACACCAATGGCCAGTGCTAATGAGGTTGGTATTCGACGCGCCAACGCGCCTTTTCCTGCCATCACGGACGCTGGCCAACGACGGCAACGATGGGGAGCGGCGGAAGAGAGCTTGGAGGTCTGGGAGAAATGATGGTGTACGGCGACCAAATCCAGGGTGTTGATACTCACCGTGCCGTCACTGGCTTGACGTCCTTCCATTCCGCCCACAATTAACCTCGGCTTTAGTGGCTCGTCGTCGTGAGTCGTGACCGCCACACGTTCATCGTATGCAACGACGAGCAAGCCGATCGCAGGCCCACATATCAATATCTTCGTCGAGGTCTTCACACACTATGTCGTCCGACAACGAGAAATCTCGTCCCTCTCGCCTCTCTCAACGTTCCTTGGGTGTTTCAAATCGTGTCTGGCTTATCATCCTCCTCTTCCTCGCCGTCCTTGGTATAACACACTATCTTTCACCTTCATCTCAGACACAAGACTTTAAGCCGTATTCGACGGTGGACCTCAAGTCGATAAACTATCTCAATGGAACAGAAAAGCCTCCCAATCCGTTCGAGTTTTGCCCTAGTTATGGACCCATGGATAGGCTGGGAACAAAGTATGGTCCTTCGGTCTTGTCGCAGAGTCGACTACATCTGGGGAGTGGTGCGCGGATTCATCGCGTGTTGAATCGAGCGCTGAACGGGCACCCCGTAACTATCAGTGTTCTCGGCAGTTCCAGTGCGTATCTTCCCCTCTTCAAAGTGGTCAGTCTTACCCATTCATAAACTTTGTTCTGGTTCTGCAGTTTCCGCGTGCCACGGTGCTGGAGACGATCCAATATCACCTAAATGTTATCCTTCCAAATTCTTCAAATGGTGGAATAGTGTATTCCCTCATCCTGCAACCGAGCTCACCAATGGTGCCATGAGACGAACGAATTCAGGATACTTCGGGTTCTGCAACGCCCACCATCTCCCTGACGTGACAGACCTCGTAATAATCGAACTCGACACAGAAGACAGTCCGTAAGTCTTATTCGACCTCCTTCTTTCTTGTTTCTCACCGCTCTATTATTAGTGACCAAGACATGATGGAAAACTTCGAAATCCTAATCCGCTCAATCCTTATCCGCCCTGACCAACCCGCCGTCCTCCTGCTCGGTCACTTCAGTCCTCAAATTCACACTCAATACGGTTTCGCTGGACCAGATCACCATCATAACGCTGTAGCCCAATTCTACGACGTCCCCCATGTCAGTATCAAATCTGCCGTGTACCCAGAGTATATCCGCGATCCAAACTCCGTATCGAAATTCTTCGTCGATCCAGTCCTTTCGAGTCCACTAGGTCACGACTTGATCACGGACATACTGGTGGCATATTTCCAAGACCAGATTTGTACGGTTTGGGGTGTTGCAACTGGGCAAATATATTCAGCAGATGCTGCTGAAGCTATTGGTAATCCTGCTGGGGGTGGCGGGATTTTCGGTGGTGTGGGTCAAAGGAAAGGTGTCCCAGAGGAACACCGGGATACCGGCGATGGGCTCGATGCGAACGAGAATAGGATCAAGCCAGAACCGAAGGATTCTGTGAACAGTAATCCGTTACTTCAAGCTCAACTGCGTGTTCCAGCTGGGAGGATCAACACAAGACCTAACTCTGGCCACCCTTTCGAAGAGATCGCGCCATATTGCGTCTCAGCCAATGACCTTATCAACCCACTACCACCTTCTCTATTCTATGGATCTGGTTGGCACGCTTTCCATCCATCCACTGCTTCTGGGTCTGGCGCTGAAAATGCGCTCAAGACAACAGCGCATTATTGGTACTCGACTTTACCTACGAGTAAGTTGAGGATACCAATACAGGTAGGAGCGGGAGATATTGGTGTTTACTACCTGAGAGAGCCGGTATCGGTTATTGGAGAGGGAAGTGCTGTGGAGTGTTGGGTTGATGATAATTATGCGGGTGCGCGGGTCATTGAAAATGCTGCTAATATCGGGGAGCCGGTTGCTGCGTACGTTCCCTTCCTTCCTTTCTTCCCTTTCGAAATGCAAGCTAATCCTTATCATTGTAGACTCGAAGTGATAGATCACTACGTTAGTCGGGGTTCACACTTTGTCGAATGCCAGTTGATGGGAGAAGAAGGACAAGGTGTACCTCCGTTCAAAATTGTTGGAGTCTTTTCAACATAGTCATCACTCGTACTCATGACCGTTTCCTTTGCGTTTTGTCTGGATACATATGCTTCCCTTGCATTGTTTTCCGCGTTCGCCTTGGTCTCGTTGATATTTTTCTCCCTCCGCATAGACGCCATCGAGGCCTACCTACATAAACGTCTTCACACATTCTGACTGGAGTTGCTTGCTTGGTTCCCTCGTTGTGATATTGATACAGTTCAGCATTTTGTACACCCATGGACTTGCTCATACCATCCACCCTCATCATACACTAATAAATGCTCTTGGAATCTCGGAATCCGGAATTATGTTCTCCATGTCCTTCAATCTTTGCTTGTAGAATGGTTTCATAAAAAGGAGAAAATGGTCTTGTAAATTCTCGATATGGACACTGTGGGATTTGAACCCACGACCTCACGCAGTCACTTATTGAGTTTCTTGTTCATGCGAAGCGTGCGCGCTACCCCTGTGCCAAGAGCCCATTATCGTGGTGAGTGGACGGCTCGGTCCGGAGGGAATTGCGATCAAAGTCTGCTTTCTGTCATCGCCGCTTTGCAGGCTTTCTCTCTCATCTTCCAAGCTCGTTCTAAGGCGAACTACTGTGGACCTTCGTCATGTCCAACACAAAAGCTGGATCCAAGACATCAGCCTCTACGAAGGCCGCGTCCAAATCCAGTGTCAAATCAAAAGACAAGCAAGGTGCTAATCTCAAGTTAGGTAGTACTGTTGGTGCGCCCTCGCAACATTCACAATCGAGTCGGAAAGGAAAGAAAGCGTGGAGGAAAAATGTGAACGTTGAAGATGTTGAGGAGGGGTTGGAGGAAGTTCGAATGGAGGAGAGGGTTATCGGGTAGGTCTTTTTCTCTTTTTTCTCTTTTTCTCTTAGGGAGTCATGGGGAGCTAACACTATGAAAATTTCTCGGTAGGACGAGTCTGAAGAAGACTCGTGATGATGATTTATTTCAGATCGATACGACTGGAGATGATAAAGGTGAGCTTATAACTTCGCATTAGGTGTGAATGCGACTGGTCAAATTTTCGTATAACTAGTCCGACACATCCTTCCGAAGGTGTCCTTCTCCCAATTATCCTCTGCAAAAATACTAGCACAAAGATCTGCTATACCTGCTGTCTACTCTCGTTCAAACGGGGAGACAGTATCAGCAGGTCAAAAACGTCGGGGCACAGGTCTAAGCCGCGACGAGAAAAATCGACTTTTACGAATTGCGAAGAAACCTAGGAAAGGTCCGTTCAACAGTGTCCTAGATCCAGCGGAATATAAATCCGGGAGTGCGATTGTGGAGTTGAGTAAGGCTGTGAGGGAGAGCGGGAAGTATAATGTTTGGGATGATATGGAGGAGGAGGAGGAGATTCCGGACGGGTTGGAGTTTTTGAAGAAGAGGCCGGCCAAGGTATTTTCCCCCGTCGCCATCTATTCTGCGAAGTTTACTGACTCCTGCTGTCCTTCTAGCTTCCACCGAAACCGATTCGCGAGGATATCGAGATACCTGCGGTGGTAGAACCCCATCAAGGGACTTCGTATAATCCACCTGTGGATGCTCATCAAACGCTATTGCTTCAAGCCCATGAAGCAGAAGAAAAGAGGATTCAAGACGCCGAAAAGTTGGCTGCTGTTAAAGAGAAGATGGAGAAAGCGAGGATAGCGGCTAACGCGGATGCCGATGTTGCTGAAGAGCGGGGATTGCCGCCTGGTATGACGCTAGATGATGGGAAGATTGACGAGGATGAAGAAGGTAGTGAGAATGAGGGAGGCGGATTGTTGACCAAGAAGATGCCGCAGCGGAAGACGAAGGCGCAGAGGAGAAAAGCGGCGGAGAGGCTTGTTGAGGTTGGTTTCTTTCATTCATTATCCCTGACATCTTCCAAGTTTCGTTGTTCTCTGCAGAAACGAAAGTTAGCTGAAAAAGCAGCAAATAAGCGCCGATTGGTTCTGCTTACCTCCATCAAGTCGCTGCGGAAATCGACAGATCAAGTTCTGGCAGACCAGGAGAAAGCCAGGGTGCAGAAACTGCAGTTGAGACGAGAAAAACTTCGCAAGGGGTTGGCAGGGCAGAGGATTGGGAAACATAAAGTCCCGGAGAGTGAGATCGTTGTCCAGCTTGGAGAGGACTTGAGCGAGAGTTTACGTGGGCTGAAGGTCGGGTTCCTTTCATTGTCGATGCGTGACGATTAGACTCATCACACTCTTTCCTAGCCCGAGGGCAACCTCTTCCGCGACCGGTTCCTCAGCTTGCAGCAGCGGGCGATCATAGAACCTCGCGTTCCTGTTCTGTATGTGACTTTCACAGCAGCGTTTGTCTGAGCAGTGATTGACCACTTTTCTACAGACCCAAGAAACGGAGAACAAAAATAGTAGAGTACGAAAAGCATGCATGGAAGCGGTTTGAATAATTTATTGCTCTACCATGGGTATCTGTATCTTATATACTGTATCCTTTCCTGCGGACCAAGTTGACTTGGGGAGACACGGTGCCGCGCGTGTCCCGAAAAGGCAATCAGATAGGCGCTCCCCTGAACAGCCAGACGCGTTTCAGCGATCTCGCTTTTGACTCACCAACCCACCCTCTTAAAGTCCTTCTCCACGCGCACGACGACATGGAAGTTGATCTCGTTGAGGAAACCCTTCAATCTAGCGTATCTCACCAAGCGCCACATTCTCATCATATCGTCACTGTTCCAGTCGACGATGCACACCCCTTTGATCTTGAAGGATATGTTGCCAATTATTCAGGTGAGCGCTTGAGTTTTGATCTTCTGGTTGGCGGGAAAGATTCTCGGTGAATTGGATGCTGATAATATGCTTTAAATGACGTGTCTTTTGGACAACCAGGTCGAACAGTGATAACACGCCTGATTCACATCGTACACATATGTCCTTCTATCGCATCAGAAGCATTCAACTTGGCGGTCCAACATATTCACCAATCTCGAGATCCACTATTGTATCAACAACTGTTGTCGACCTATGAAGTGAGCGGTCTGCAAGGGGCACTACCACCAGTGTCGGATTTGAAGCCGCTTGATACGAACTGGGCGGATTCGACGATGGCCAAGAATCAAGCGGAGAAACTGAAGTTGGAAGTCGAGTTGAAGTCGTATACGAATAATATGATCAAGGAGAGTATAAGGGTGAGTAGAATGTGTCGTCTTATACTACAGGTGGTCGAGCGAATTGACATATGTGCTTTTGGTAGATGGGTCATCGCGATTTGGGTGACTTCCATAGGTCTTTGGGGGATTTCGCAACTGCGCTGAAGCACTACACGAAATCTCGCGAGTTTTGTACGACGAGTCAACATGTGCTTGATATGTGCTTGTCTGTATTGGAGGTATGTTACCCCTAATCCTTCAATCATTTCGCAAACTCTCGACTTGCATCTGACATTACCGCTCTTCGTACAGCTTCTCATTGAACAAAAGAATTATTCCCATCTCCCGACATACGTTTTCAAGGCCGATGCCGCTCTGGACGCTGCCAACTCTGCTGCAACAGCTACTCAGCCGGCTACTACTACAATTGGCGGAAAGAAACGCTCACCCGAACGAGACTCTGTTCAAACTAAGCTCGATTTTGCTACGGCTCTATCGAACTTGGGACAAGGTAGCTACGAAAAAGCTGCTTTCCACTTTTTGAAACTCGGTCCGCCGAAGGAGTTGGGCGATTGGGCTGGCAAAGTGAGTTTCTTGTTACCTTTTGTAGGCGCATCTCATTGGACGAACGATTAATCGGCATATAGCTTGTCGCTCCTGGAGATATCGCCATCTATGGCACTCTATGCGCTTTGGCGACCTATTCTAGATCGGCATTGAAGGCCCAAGTGTTGGATAATGCGGACTTTTCAATTTACATCGAACAAGAACCGTATATCCGGGAATTGGTCGAGTCGTATATGAGTTCTAACTTCAAGACGGTCCTCGAGCTGTTAACGCGGTACTCCGTAAGTTTCCATAACCTTCGATCCCTGGGTCTCGTCAACACCTATATACTCACTTCGCTGCTGCGCATATAGACGAGACATTATATCGATATCCACCTTGCGGGACACGTTCACGATTTGACGGCACTCATTCGGAACTGGGCTATCGTTCTTTACTTTCAACCTTTCTCGTCAATCAAGCTTAGCCGTATGAGTACAGCGTTTGGGTGGACCATTGACCAAGTTGAGAAGCACGTCGTCGATCTCATTCAATCTGGGGAGATCAAAGCTAGAGTAGATAGTCAAAACAAGGTAAGACGAATCTTTTCCTCCCTTATATGCGTACTTGACTGATATTGTCATCCTTTAGATCCTACAAGCAAAACAAACAGATTATAGGGCCGACTTATTTGCGAGGTCGATCAAGGCGGCGAAAGATATTCAATCGGCAAATCGCAAGCTCCTCCTCCGTATGAGATTGTTAGTCAATCTTCCTGTCCTTGGTTCTTTCCCGAGTACTTGTGACTAATGATTGTGCAGGCAACAAGCTGATCTTATCGTAAAACCACCAAAAGGTCACCATGGGCTCGTGATGGAGTATATGCAAGGAGAGTAATTAGGGTGTGTAATGGCGGCGTACTGTAGTTATGATTGTCTTTCCTTTGGATGCACCAATGTAGCATGATATCGAACTTGATCAACCCTTCTCAGTTTCTACTCAAATGTACCTTTTCGAATTTTGCATCCGCCATCTAGTAGTCGACTTCGAGAGAGAGGTGGGGGCATTTTCGAGCGGCTGTCGGCACAAACAACATCTGAGTCGCCAAACAAACTTGCATTGCGCTCACCTTCCACAACTTCGAACACGTCCATGATCCACGGGGCTTGAATCGGTCTGGTCCAGTACTGTATACTCGTACAAATACGGAGTAGTGTCTAGCTGTGCACGCAGCACACGTCATGGCCTTCCTCAACGACGTCCGGTCCTTTGAGTACTGCGGGAAATGTTCAAATTCTTCAAAGCCTGAGTTCGAACAACTTACCAGTAAGTACCAACTGACAGCTCAATTGAACTGATCACAGCACATTCGCATCCACGCCCTAGTCAATATTCAAGTTCCTAGGACGAATCTGCCACGAGGCTGCCCCTCCCCGTCGTCTTTCCTGTCAAGTCAGCTGGCAATTCTCCCCTGAAGCACTTGAACCTTTCTTTAGGTTCTCGCTGGCCTTATTCACGATCGCGGAGAGCGTGGAATCCCGGGCTTAGGATTCATCCTTCATTATATCAAGAGCTCTCACCTTTGACCTGGAGGAACCTTTCCAAAGCTGATATCCATTGTCTTTGCTATTGAAATTTTGCTTCTATCAAGAACACAGGCAGATTGAAGTCCAAGGATAGGTTTTTTGTGGCATTTGATTAGGAATTTTAAGAATTTGTGGGCAGATGGATTTTAGAGCCTCTTGCTCAGCTGCTTTCACCTAGCAAGTGGGCAGGCTTTGCTACTGAAGCTGGTAAGTTTCCTCCTTATGCATCTGTTGTACA